CCATCTCCCAGGTCTAAAGGTTCCCTCTTTCCGGCTGAAGTGAAGGAGCCATGAAGCCTAATTGCTGTTCTTTCACTTGTTGCTCTCAGTGCTGCCCCCCCCCCCCAATCCCTAGCCATAGCAGTTTTTTTCCTTTTGCGTGGTGGGGAGAGAAGAATGTTGCTTTTTTCTCCTCCCTAGATCCAAACAGAGCAGATACTAATCAACTGTTGGTTCCAGTGCTCCCTCTTTGGCAAGTTAGAGGGAGTGCAGACCAGTTCAGAAATAAGTTTTTAAAAAAACTTATAGTAAGTACTGTGCTGTACTGTACAAACATATTGCTGATAGGGCATATATGCATGTTTGGTTTGTGGAGCATGTAGAAGCAGCTTCACTTTGAATTTCTGTGCATTGGTGTCCTGGTGGAGCAGATAAAGAAGCTGTCCTGTGCTATTAGCTGTCAAACCTTTATTTCTTTATACAATTTAGAGCCTGCCCAACTCACAATAAGTCTGGGTGACTTGTTTATATTTAAAAAATCAAGGAACAACAAGAACAAAACATAGATTGAGTGTACAGAGGACAGACTTAACAATCCTACAATGGCTCGATTTTTTAAAGTCACCAAATAGTTTTGATTAATCCATTTTCAAACAGATATACATAAAATAAAAATATAAACTATTCCCCATTCACAAAAACAAATTTAAAAAATTACATCTATATCTCAAGTTATCTATAGATCCCAACTATATCTCAAGTTCACTTGATTTTGTAAGCAATTGGAAAGAAAAATTCAGCTTTAAATGATGACCCAACTGTCCAAGATTTTTTTCCAAAGGGAAACATAATGTGTCATTTTTTAACAGAATTTTTACTATATCAAAAATTGCTAAATCACATCTCTGAAATCCAGTCCTTCGTATCAGCAATTACATTATTTTCCTACTTCCTAAATATTATTCTTTTTTACTTTTGTGACAGCATGAAAAAACCAAAAATCTGAGTTTTTTCAATAGTTCTGTCAATTTAGTGTATAACATTATATCTAAAGGGTTATAAGGAAGAAATTCACCCTAGCAGTGGTCAGTAATTCCTTCCCCCTCAAGATCACAATTTTATATTTATATGAATTTTATAAAATTAATTGTTAACTAAATACTGCCATCCCCATTTAACATTCTGTGATTTTTTTTCTATTTTGAAAAAATTGCTTATGTCTTATCCTGTACATTCTTAAAATATTAAACATCTGCTTTTTACTAGATCTTTATACAGTCTACTAGCCATTTTAGATTTTTTGTATTAGCATGCTGATGAAACTTTATACTTTTATATCTACCAATGCATTAAATAATCATTTTTCTTCTAGTTTTGTCTTCCTCCCCAACTGTTTTGAATTTAGATGTGGTTGGTAGTCCTCAATGTGTAAGTACAAAAACAAAAACAAAAAAACTGATGTCTTCCTATACTAACTAAGTAAGTAATCAGATATACCTATTTTTGTTGTTTGGGGACAGGACAAGCTTGCTTTGGTGGCTCCGTGTTTCGAAATTCAAGAATTGCCTTCCATCCATGGGGAATGCAAAAGAATATTGTCCACTATGTTTATCAAAATATGGTGGATGGCACTATTGGATC